TGCGTTCTTGTGGGATTTCCCCGGTTCCAGGGCAAAGATGTGTCCGACTGCACCAATAAAGCAGGGGACGGGCGGTCTAAAGCTTCTGCTCAACCCCCATGGCACACGGGGATACGAAGTCACTGCTGTTCTTCCATGGACAGACAGGTCTAGGCCCGTTCACAGACAATTCCCATTTTCGGCGTATGGACTGTATCTTGTGATCCACTCAAAACACCTGTGCGCAACACTAAACAACCGATCTTTTCCGTGGGCCCTGGACCTTGCCATGTGTGAGTAAGTATGTCCGCAGCTATGGTAACTTGTCACTTTCTCCGGCCAGAAGTGCACGGAGACGGGGCTGTAGGGCAGTAGTAATACGCGAATGTCGTTTTTGACCTGCTTTCGCGCTGCTGCGCGGCCGGCTGCACGCCTTACTCTATCCGAACATGCTTCCTTTTTGCGTTCTCTCAACATCTGATTATTCTCTATATTCGCTGCGGGATTTGGTTCCACGCAAGAGGTGCCTCTTGAGGATAGGGCAGGCAAAGTAGGGTAACGGCACCAAATGTCACCACTCTCAGACCTGTTCTCGTACACACTCGAGTGCTGAAAAAAGCGTATTGCAGCTGAGGACCAATACTCCTCGCAAATTACAAGGAGCGGCCATGAGTGTCCAGTTTTTCTTCAAGACTCAGATTTCCAACAGAAGTTTCGTATTTGGATGACCTCCAAATGTGATCGAATTTCCTGAACGTTCTTAGAACCCCAGTGAAGCCTTTAAGAGTGTAACAAAGTTCATTATGCTTGTGGCAAGCATAGGTCTGAGCGCGATCATTCCAGAATTACCCTATGACATCGCTCACGCACATATGAGCGGCACTACTGCACTACTTGCAGTCATCAGAGGGGAAAAGGAGACAGGGCACAGCATTCGATGGGGATTTTGGTCGAGCTTTTACGACCCCCCCCCCCTTTTTCAAGGGCTGGTACGACCCCCCCCCCATGCTCGTACGATGGCTGACATGGCTGACTGTGGTTGTGGTTTATACTCGGCGAAAAAGTTGTCGAGCGGGGGGGAGGGGTATGTAGTAGGCATGCGACGTACATCGTACGGGCGTACATAGTACCTATAACACAGAAAATTCAGAAAATTCATAAAACCCATGAAGTGAACCACGTAACTCCTAGCCAGAAATACGACCCCCTCCCAACAACGACCAAATACGACCCCCCCCCTCCAAAACGTCCGCAAAGAAAATCCGTCCGCGAGAAAATCAACCTATAAAAATAGAATTTTTCCCGGCCAAATACGACACCGCCCCCGGCATCCGGGAAAGTCCCCAACCAATGCTGTGCCCTCAAGAGGAGATGCCCCGACGACGGTCACCTTATTAGTGTGGTGGCGACTATAACAGCTATCTACCCCGTCCTGTGCTCGAAACTCTCAGCCGTTTGGTCACTATGCCGCGTTTTCGGCCACTCGGATCATGACACCCATATATTCTTCATGACCTGGCGGTGGTATTCGGCATGCTTCGGTTTGTGAGTACTGCACCGTGTAATGTGGTGAATTTTTTTTTTGGTTTTTGGCCCCCCGCTTGAAATAATTTCAGCCACAGGGAATCATTAGACTTCCTGGTGCAAGACTGGATCATTTGCAATGTATTGACGAGCTCTAACCAACTTGAACAGTAATGGCTAGGCAAGAATAGGCACTTAAGGTGCCGACTGTGCTGGCTGTTGACAGTGCCCGTAAGAACGATGCAAAAGGGCGGGCCACCCTTAAATATGGGTGTCCGGCAATGGTCGCGGAAGTGAAAATGAACTAAAAAATTAATTTTCTTGACCAACCTGAGCACCTGCAGTGTTCCGACTTCGCAGAGTCATGTATCGTAGCAAAGCGAGCATAACTGAAATAGATCCCATAAGCAAACAATATTTTCCAAGAAAGCAAAGCTGGTAAAAGTATTTCGGAGCGCCCAAGGTGTGTACAGCGAAAGAAGGTGTGAAAAAAGAACTGGTTTTCGTTCCGAATGCGAATATGCACCCATCCTACTTTTACTGCTGATCAAGCGATAAACAGTCAGCTGCGGTCTTGGTTCACAAAAAAAAACTTGCTTCTACCGGTACCTAGCTAGCCTGAATCTATGGCCACTTTTGAGGTGCTTCTGTCAGAAAAAATGCTTTTCATGCTGCTTCAAACAGCTAAAAGACTGCCTTTCAAGATTTGAAGGGACCCACAAATGTAGCCCTTCCCCTTCGCTTTCCTGGATTTCCTGGTGTATTTTTGGTTTTTTCACATCACTTTTGCTAGCAGTGCTCCCGCAACGTTTCAATTGCTGTTGTTTGGGGCCCAGACTCGGCGGGCAACGAATTTCGCTATGTGTTTTCCAGGAAAAACAAACGGCGAAAATCGAAAGTGCGATAGGCCGTCCATTGTCTAACCCGACCTGAAGTGCGCATTATCCCCGGTACTACCTTAGTGTTCACGAAAAACCATCTAGGATGTTCAGTGAAAACTCTTAAATGGCACATAAACTTATTGTTAGCAGCACTTTGCCATTTGACGTCATCTGTTGAGTTATTTGGATACTGATGCTTAATTGGACTCCAGCTGGAGGGGAGCGCTCCAATACCGTCGCTTTGCTGCCCACCGCACTGCAGAGAACGTTTTTCTTCCCATAATTAGAAAGAGGAAAGCAAATGGATAGGAAAACCCGAAAGACCCATGGTTCGTTTTGCCCTTTCCCTAAAAAAAACTATCACTATATAGTCAACCCTTGAGCTCCTCTATCGTGTTGATGACATCTCGTAAATCAAACACGCCCAAGAGAATAAGCCGCTCAGACCATAATCCTGTCAAGCTTACGTGGGTCCTTCATGAAAGGATTACGCATTAGGAGTGGCCAGTTCCTCTTTGGACAGCGCCATGTACAGTTGATGGAATAAAACCCCTCCGCGGTGCTACCACCGGTAGTTATTTTCTTCCTAAAGTTACTGACCGATCATTATTGGTAGAGCGACTCTGACACCACCCCAACAAATGGGCTATACGTGACTTATGTTCAGAAACCTTGAGCATTTTGCCAATATAGGGGCTTGCTAGGAAAGCAAAGTCTGCGTTTTCGCTCCCTCAAGTGACTTTAGTGGTAAGGACTGAAGAGAGATTCGGAAGGAGGGAACATAAGGCTGAAGTTTGATTGCCCTTGAGCCCATTTAACACTCTCAATAACAATTCGAAAAACCTGACGATTTTTCCTAACAAGTGTGGGAGCCAGTCAAAGATATCCGGGCTGCGGCGAAGTAGCGTCGCAAGTGACCTGAGAACTTAACAGATTTGACGCGAAAAAGCTGCAGCAACTGCAGCGAGCTGGCCTTAAAGGCAAAATCCGCGATCGTTCGCTATCAAAGATATTGGATTAGGGGCTCTCATATAGAAGAAACGTGCTGAGTAACTCGATAGTGAAGAAAAAAAATCAGGAAAAAAGCATCCTAAGTGCCCTAAATAACACCCCATTTCGATCCCAGTTTGTACGTGCCCAAGCAACTCGGCCTTCAACACTACGCCCTCATCCGCACAGCTGATTCCCCTCCCCGATAAGAACTCTACGACCGTACAAGTGACGATTTTCATGCTTTTTCGTCCTGCAGCTTCGTTTTTCACTGAAAGGCGGGCCTTGAAGGCGGAGTCTGGAGGCGGAGTCACTGGAAAAAAGGAGGCGTCACTGAACCTATATTGCGCTATAGCGCCCCTCCCTTACAATTTTTTGCCGCGAAACCGGTACAAGGTTGTTTGTCGCGGACCACATTACCCTCACGACACCATACTTTCAACTTCAATACCAGATCGCGAACCGAGCCTTCAAATTGATAACTGAGCACGGTGAGTTACTGCCTGCGCGCTGGCGACATACGTCTCCTAAGCAGCACCCAAAAAACGCCAAAAAAACACCTTCTACAAATGAAAAAAGGTAGTAAGATCCGCTAGCTAACCTGATAACCACACCGATGAACTGTGCCCGACTAAAGACAAGTGAGCATGGGCGATCAAAAACAACGCCCAGCCGTAACTCCAATGTCGTGGATGACAGTGTTTGAAGGCGACAAACGAGTAGTGTGTCGTGTAGATCAGATTCGAGAATAACACCACCGTATCACAACATGCCATGGCAGTCAGAATCATGTTGACCGGTGTACGCATTTGCCGCCTGGAAATAATACCGAATAATTATGGCGTCTCAGATACATATAAAAGCCTCACTGCCAGATCTTAAGCTCAGGGTGCCGACTGCAAACGACATCTCCTCAAAATAGCCCTGTTCACGATATTTTTATAGACTGCTTGACCTTGAGTTTCACTATGCAATTTGAAATGGGATTAGGAAG